TCCTCTGATCAAAGAAGATACAAATAGAAAGAACTTTGTTTGCTTTTGGTTATTGCATGCAAAACTGCGCCGTCAATCATCCGTCGTAGTCTAGGTGGTTAGGATACGCGGCTCTCACCCGCGCGACCCGGGTTCAAGTCCCGGCGACGGAACTTTGTCTCTTTTCCGTTTTGAATTCTTAAAGACATTTTTGCTTTTGATTCATACTTTGTTTATCAATATCTTTTTGCATCAAAGAAAAGACTAACTAACGTGATTGTCGGCGGCGCAGGAGGAAAAGGTCTTGGAAGCCTCTCCGTGTGCAACTTTTTGAGGGAGGCGGGAAAGTTGCATTTTAATCTATTTTTAAAGTCTTTTTCTCATTTCCCATCATTTTTTGAATGCCAAAGAGCAGCATTTTCCGCGGATATTGCTGGCGCTGCGTCTGCTATCCGCGGGTGGCGTTGGCAGTTCAAGTTCAGCCGCTGGTGGCGATCCGGCGCGCCGGAGCGGGAAGCTGGTGTTTAAATGCAAAATTTTGTTTTCTGTAGGACTTGCAAAGCTCTATGAAGGGTTTTAGGATGTCCAGCGGCGCAGAAGTCGCAGCAGAGAGTGCGTGCGACTTTGCGCAGCGCGAGCGTGCAAGTTGAAAGCCCGAAACCTGTGCAGAGTTAAACTGCTGCTGTTTACCCCTCAGTCTACTTTTTATTTTTCTTCTTTTGCTTCGCCTCTCAAGCGCGCCGACCTCTGGCGCAGCTCCGCATCTACACCCCTTCTGCCTTTCGGTTTCCTTGGCCTTCGCCGTCAAATCAAATGACCAAGTGACCCGGGAAAGAGCTGCCTGTCTTCATTTTGGATTTGCTTTTCTTTGAGCTCTTCGGGGCTGCTGCAGACTGCAGCAGAAGGCCCCAGCAGTCTACGGGGAGGTCTTGTGTCTTCATTTCTCTCTGCGTTTCGGGTTTCGCCGCCCCCCGATGACTTCTTCTTTCCAGCTGGACTGCAGCAGCTGCAGCAGCGAACGCCGGACCTGAGCAGCAGCAGCAGCGCAGCAGCAGCAGCAGCAGCGCAGCAGCAGCGGGCCGCCATGGCTCTCCCTCTCCGGGCTTCCTTAGAGTCTGCGAGGGCCTCTTGGCCCTCCGCTCGGGGCCCCTGCATGCACCGGTTTGGGGGCTTCTATCCAGCTGCTGCAGCAAGGGGTGCAGCGCAGCTGGGGCCCCCGCAGCAGAGGGGGGACCCCTCACTTGGGCCTTCCGCTGCGCCCCAGCGGGAGGCTGAGGGCCCCCAGCGGCCCCGGCCTGTGTGCATGCGATCTCCCAGGACTTTTCACAGCTACAGGGCTTATCTGGGGGCCCCGTTGAGGGGCCCGGGGGCCCCCTGGGGATCGGGGGCCCCCCGGGGTCCAGTGGCCCCCCGTGGGCCCAAGGCCCCCATCCCAGGGCCCCTTGCAGTGCATTTTCAAATGAGCAGCAGCACATTTTGGGGCAAAAGTTTGTTAGCAGCAAGTAATGGGTCTTGGCTAGAAAAGGGGACTGCGGGGGAACTGTCTGTGAACTCCAGCAGCAGAAAAGGAGACAAATCGCGGGCCGGCTGGCGGTGGAGGGCTCTGGCAGCAGCAGCAGCGGCGCCTCTGGCTGCAGGGCCTGTGCAGCAGCAGGAGGAGCTCGAAGAGCAGCAAGAGCAGAAGCAGCAGCAGCAAGAGCAGCAGCAGCAGCAGCCGCCCGGGGATGCTGAGGTGGCTGCTGCGGGTTCTGCGGTTTGGAAGCGCGCGCAGCAGTACCTGCTGGCGGAGAAGCTGGAGAAGATGCTGCTAGTGGCGTTCTCCCGGTTGAACAGTTTGCGCAGCAGCCTAAGCAGCAGCAGCAGCAGCAGCGGCAGCGAGGCTTGTCTCGGGGGTTCGGGTTCGTGGGGCCTGTGCGGGTGGGTGCGTTTTTTGCGGAGTTTTTCGTCGTTGCTGCTGGCGACTCTGGACTACAAAGTGACGTTTTTTCGGTTGTACCTGATGTCGGCGCGGGAGGAGCAGCTGCGCGTGGCAGCAGCAGCAGCAGCAGCAGCAGCAGCAGCAGGGCGCGCGGCGGCGGCGGCGGCGGCGCTGGGGGGGCGGGAGGCGGAGGCGGCGGCGTCGCTGGCGGCGGCGGAGCAGCACGAGGCGGAGAGCGCGCGGCTGGCAGCAGCAGCAGCGCTGCTGCGCAGCAGCAGCAGCGCAGCAGAGCAGCAGGCGCATGCGCGCGGCGCCGCGCGGCTGCTGCGGCTGTGCAGCCGCCACGGCGGGCTCTACGTGAAGCTGGGCCAGTACGTGGCCACGCTGCAGCACGTGCTGCCAGCAGCCTACGTGGACACTCTGGCGCAGCTGCAGGACAACGCAGCAAGGGTCCCCTGGGGCGAGGCCCAGCTGCTGCTGGAGAGGGAACTGGGGGGCCCCCTGGGGGCCTTTTTCTCCGAGTTCGACCCCGAAGCTGTTGCTGCTGCTTCGCTGGCGCAGGTGCACTGGGCGCGGCGGCGCAGCGACGGCGCGGAGGTGGCG